AGCAGCAGGAGTGCTGCGACCCCCGCAGCAGAACTTTACAAAAAGCCTCATCAAGAAAAGAAAAGGGCGTGCTGCAGCTGCTGCTACTGTTGTTGCTGCTGTTGCTGCTGCTGCTGCTGCTGCTGGTGCTGCTGCTGCTGCTGCTGCTGCTCCTGCGTTCGTGCGTTGTTGCTGCTCGTATTGTTGCTGCAGCAGCAAGGGCCCTTCTCCCTTCTTTCCTTTTCCTGTTATTTCTATTTAATATGAATGTACAACAACTTAAGACGCAGCAGCAGCAGCTACTGCCGTTGCTGCTGCTGCTGCTGCTGCCCACAGTGGGGCTGGGGCCCTGGGCCCCCGTGCAGGTTTAGAGTTAGCTAGGAAACGTAAACCCTAAACCCTAAACCCTAAACCCTAAACCCTTTATTTTATACTTTAAAGACTCAACTATAAACCCTAAACCCTAAAAATTCCCTAAACCCTAAACCCTTTTTATTGTCTTAACTTATACCCGCCAACGAGCACACAATGTCCGAGCAGCAGCAGCAGCAACAGCAGCAGCAGCAGCAACAGCAGCAGAATCAGGAGGAGCAGCAATGGTTGCCTATAGAAGGTACACCTGAGGTACTGAACCCTTATCTAGCAGCTCTAGGGGCCCCTTGCGTAGGGGCCCCCCAAGAAGGGGGGGCCCCCAAGGAGGCGGGGGCCCCCCAAGAAGGAGGGGCCCCCAAGGAGGCGGGGGCCCCCCTCCTCCTTGTAGAGGACGTACTAGCACTAGAGCCATGGGCAATAGATATGCTGAGGTGTACAGACACCGCAGCTTTGCTGCTGCTGTTCCCTATAACAGATAAGGAGGATAAGGAATGGGAACAGCAGCAGCAGCAGCAGCAGCAACTGCTGCAGCATATGCAGCAAGTGCAGCAGGAATATGATGAAGAATTAAAGAAAAATATATGGTTTGTTAAACAGGTAAACCCTAAACCCTAAACCCTAAACCCTAAACCCTAAACCCTTATTTTTATTCATAGAGCAGTCTCTTTTTCCCTTAACTGTATCTTTTTTTTTATATAAAATTAATTGTCTCCTTTTTATCTAATTACCTGTCTCCTTTTTATATATAATTATTAATTAATTGTCTCCTTTTTTTTTGTGTATATATACAGACAATACCTAATGCATGCGCTACTGTTGCATTGCTGCATGCAACAGCAAACATAAAAAGAGACAAATTCCCTCTTCCTCCTAATGGTCTCCTTTATCAATTCTTTAGTAAACCCTAAACCCTAAACCCTAAACCCTAATTACTAAATAATAGGCATAGTAGGTAGGGGGAGAAAAAAGGAAGAAAAAGGGAAGGGGGGAGGGTTTATATTTTTGTTAGGGTTTATATATATATGATTTAGGGTTTAGGGTTTAGGGTTTAGGGTTTAGGGTTTAGGGTTTAGGGTTTGTGTGTGTATAGAGGAGACATGGGATTTAGATCCTGCATCTCGTGGTGCAGCATTAGAGGGAAATAAGAAGTTAGCTGCTCTGCATCTGCAGCAGCAGCAGCAAGGAGAGACAGCAGCAGCAGCAGCAGCAAACACTAATCTACATTTTACCTGTCTCCTTCCTTGGCGAGGGTTTATCATTGAGCTTGATGGTAGAAAACATAAACCCTTAATTAGGGCAACTATTAAACCCTCACAAACTTTCCTTGAGGTATAAACCCTAAACCCTAAACCCTAATTACCTAAACCCTAAACCCTAAAACCCTAAACCCTAAACCCTAAACCCTAAAAAACTAAACCCTAAACCCTAAACCCTAAAACAGCATTGTATATATGAGGTTGTAATCATCGCTAATGGTTTCTTTTCTCTCTTTCTTCTTCTTCTGTTGCTGTTGCTGCTGCTCCTCCTCCTCGTGCTGCTGCTGTTGTTGTTGTTGTTGTTGTTGTTGCTGCTGCTGCTGCTGCTGCTGCTGCTGCTGCTGCTGCTGCAGGCAGCATTTGATACAATTAAGAAGCAATTTATTGAACCCTTAGGAGACGAATTACAATTTGCTGTTCTTTCTATTGGAGATATACGCTCTGCACGGGACTAAACCCTAAACCCTAAACCCTAAACCCTAAACCCTAGAAATTAAGGTATGATACAATAAGAGAGAGAAAGAGAAGAAAAGAGACATATTAATAAGTGTATCTTTATCTCCTTTTCCTGCTGTTGTCCCTTTGTCTCCTTTCTTTCTTCTTTTCTTCTCCTTATAGAGGAATAAAGGGTATTATAATTATATAATTATAAATGCATGCATCTAAACAGGTGCACGTACACCCAAAAAAGCCCCAAAATATAACACATAAATAACGCATGCAACAATTACTGCTGCCACCGCTGCTGTTGCTGCTGCTGCAGCAGCAGCAACAGCAGCAGCAACAACAACCGGTGCTAGGCACTGCCTAGCAGACAGTGTGTAGGTATGGCTGTATATACACCTGGTTTATATATAAACCCTTATATATAATATATATATATATATATATAT